AAAGTCATCCTGTATTTACTGGGAGCCTTGTGTTAATCCACATGAGTAGAACTCTAAGTTCAAAAGTAGAGTCATAAGTATCATGCTTGCCTCCATTTTGGGGTGGGAGGGAACCAAAGAGGGACACAAGCCTCCACTTGCCCATCCACATCCATTTTCTGCCCTTAGAGCAGCTAGGTAAATGGTGAGATAGAATATTCCAGTGGGATAATTTGAGGACATTTAATACAGGGGCTTTCCACAAAATGTGGGTAGGGTATAGAGAAACCACAAGTGATAGGATAATATCCCAAAGTTGTTAAGATCAGGAGCAAATCCTAATCCTGGAAGCCTGAATATGCAAGTGAAAAGTGTGGTTCCCCAGACCCAGGAGAAGAAACTCACAGGGCCACTTGGACAGTTGTGACCCATGGTCAAGGAACCCACCAGCCCTTGGCAAAAGCACAGGGAGGAAACGGAGAATAAATCATTTGCCTTTTCTCCCCTCCAATTTCCTAACAGGACATCCTGTGATTTGAGACCAATCAGAAGCCAGAGAGCAAGGGTGCCCGTTGATGAAATCCATATAAATATTAGTCTCCAGGGACACAACAGAATAGAGAAGGATGGAGAGGAGATCTGGAGAGGCAGGTGAGAGATAGCCAGCATAGCCCTCTGCCCGGTTCTGTACCCTGGGAGGCTGACCTATGTGGACTGCATCATTTATACTCCCTCGTTCTTGTCCTTCCAGTGGTGTTCAGCCAGTGAAGTCGAAAAGCTGGAGGAAGGAGAAAACAGAGTTTACCCTCCCCTTTTCTGCTCAATTGTGGCAGTAGCTGTGACAAATTAGGCAGCTCACATCCCTGGCTATGCTCTTGCTGCTACAGTTACACAGTCCCTGCCTCTTGTCCCTTACAGCTTTAGGGGAAGTTAACAGATGTGTCAACATCCCCTTTGGCTCCCATAACTCTGCCCACACTTCTGTAAATAGTCCCTTCATTAATATACAACTAAACACTTTAAGACTGCCTTTTGTTTTCTTTTGGGACCCCATATGGTACAACAATGCACAAAAGTAGGCACAAAGATATACATCAGCCATCAGCATATGCAGAATGGGTGGAGTCAATGTAAGGAGACTGAATCTTTTATTTTTTTATTTTCTTAATTCTAGTATATTAATATAAATATACTTAGTATAATTCTATATTAGTTTCAGGTATACAATATAGTGATTCAAAAATTCTATACATTACTTAGTGCTCATCATGATGAGTATACTCTTAATACCCATCACCTGTTTCAACCATCCCCCTCCCCACCCTGGAGCCACCTCCCTTCTGGCAACCATCAGTTCTCTATATTTATATTTGTTCCTTTGTTTTGTTTCTTAAATTCCACATATGAGTGAAATCATATGGTATTTGTCTTTCTCTGACTGACTTATTTCACTTGGTATTATACCCTCTAGATCCTACCCATGTTGTTGAAAATGGCAAGATTTCATTCCTTTTATGGCTGAGTAATATTCCACTGCATATATATACCACATCTTCATCCATTCATCTATGGATGGACAGCTGGGTTGCTTCCATAGTTTGGCTATTGTAAAATAATGCTGCAATAAACATAGACGTGCACATATCTTTTTGAATTAACGTTTTCATATTCTTTTTTTCTTAAGTTTATTTTTTTTAAGTAATCTCTATACCCAACATAGGACTGAACTTACAACCCTGAGACCAAAAGTCACATGCTTTTCTGACTTATGCAGCCAGGCGCACAGTGTTTTCATATTCTTTGGGTAAATACCCAGTAGTGGAATTATAAGATCATATGCTAATTCTATTTTTAATTTTTTGAGGAACCTGTGTACTGTATTCCACAGTGGTTGCACCAGCTTGCATTCCCACCAACAGTGCACAAGGGTTCCTTTTTCTCCACATCCTCACCAACACTTACTGTTTCTTGTGTTTTTGATTTTAGTCATTCTGACAGGTGTGAGGTGATATCTCATTGTGATTTTGATTTGCATTTCCTTAATGCATCTACTGAAATGATCATATGGTCCTTATCCTTTCTCTTGTTGATGTGAGGTATCACATTGATTCATTTGCAAATATTGAACCACCCTTGCATTCCAGGGATAAATCCCACTTGATTGTGTGAATGAATTTTTAAATTATTGTTGGATTCAGTTTGCTAATGTTTTGTTGCTGATTTTTGGATCTATGTTTATCAGAGATATTGTTCTATAGTTCTCTTTTTTTGTAGTATCTTTATCTGGTTTTGTGTCAGGGTAATGCTGGCCTAAAGAGACAATCTTTTAAGGATACTCAGTTCTCTCTAGGTCAATAGGGGAAGGTAATTCATTCACTACCTTTTCCTATCAGGTGATGGGTATTAAGGAGGGCACATGAAGTGATGAGCACTGGGTGTTATATGCAACTAATGAATCGTTGAACACTACATCAAAAACTAATTGAATTTAAATTAAAAAAATGTAAAAAGCTTAATCACATACTGTATTATTCTTAAAAACCAAATTAATAGTTTGGGTAAAGGAAGCATTGTGTTAGGAAAAATGTACTTTGACACCAAACACTTAACTGTTGGAGGGAAAAATAAAGCCTATTTGGATTATCTATGAATTTTTTTTCTAATTAAACCATCCAAGGTACTAGAAGAAAACACAGGTGAATTCCTATTTAGTCTTAGTGTTGGGAAGGCTTTCTAATAAAGACTCAACTCCATAGGTCATTTTCTTACCCTGTTTTGGCTGCTGTAACAAAAATACCATAGACTAGGTGGCTTAAACAACAGGTATTTATTTCTCATGGTCTGGAGACTGGGAAGTCCAATATTAAGGCATCTGCAGATTTAGTGTTTGGGAAAACCCACTTCCTGGTTCATAGATGGTCCATCTTACCGTGTCTGCACATTGCAGAGGGGCTAGAGAGCTCTCTGAGGTTATAAAGGTACTAATCCCATACATGACAGAAACAGGAAGTATGAATCCCATTCATGAGGGCTCCACCCTAATCACTTCCCAAAGGCCCCATCTCCAAATATCATCCCTTAGGGAGTTACATTTCAATATATGAATTGGGGAACAGGGTAGGGATACAAACATTCAATCTATAACAGTAACAAAAGGTTGATAAATTTTACTACATAAATTTTTCATTTACATAATTAAAAACCACTATAAACAAAGTCAAAAGACAGTTGTCAAACTTGGAGAAAAGATATTCCCAGATGAAGAGTTAATATCCCTAATATATAAAGGATTCTTGAAAACCGAAAGACAATGATCCAGAAATGTGATAGAAAAATGGGTAAGGACATGCCGTTTGGCTCCATCTACCTTTTCATCCTTACTACTTTCAAAGTCCTTCTCCCGCAAAATGTTCTGCCACTCTCAGCCATACCCAAAATATATCCTTTACCTCTTTCCTCCATCCTTTGCCCTCCATACCCTCTGCCTGCAATAATGTCCTTTCTTTTGACCATTTTACAAAGTTCTAACCATCCCATCAACTTCATTTGTTCATTCAACAAGCATCTGTTGAATGCCTATTATATGTCAGTAGGAATACAAAGGTGAATGTGATGGGCTATTCCATCGAGATACTCATTGCCTAGTGCAGCAGTTCTTGTTCATTTTGCCTGTGCAAGTCACATGATATACACCATGGATACATCACAGGTGTTTTCTGATTTCCTATACGGTCTGGCATAGATAAAACTAGATTTAAGTTAATTGCAACTCTCACTTCACATGCTCTGACTCCCTTTTTCTCGTGCAGTTTACTGATTGCAAAATTCCACCTTCCCCTTCTTCAAATCCAGTAAATCAGTTTCTCTTCTTCTTTGGGGAGCCTTGTTTCTCTAACTGTAGCATTTATGTCATTCTGTCTTGTGTTACAGCCATGTACATTACCCCTGAGTGCCCGGTTCATTCCATGTCTCCAAGAGCATCAAGCACAACACTTTCTTCTCCACACAGATACCATTAAATACTGCCCAATTGAATTGCATTAACTGGCGCCTTGGCCAAAACAGGAAGCAAATATAGGAGGGGAAGCTGAGCTCTAAGCAGTCGGTGAGATGGCCTGCACCTAGGAGAAAGTGAAAAGGACTTTGGATCTTTCTGAACATATCACCCAACAGAGCCTAGTTTGTTCATTCTTTCAGGAAATTGGGTTGCCTACAGCAAAGAATTGGGAACAGGAGCAAGACAGCCTTAGCTGCTGGCAGAGCAAAGTGAGTATGTATAGTCTAATGGTTTTTATGAATATTGGATGGATGGTGATAAGATTTTTCTGCCAGATGAGATGTGATGAATCTGGGTGTCGGGTGAGGCACGTGGCAGGGTTTATTGTACAAACTTTTTTAGGGTCTGCTCCAAAAAAGAAAAGAAATTTTAAAAACCAGACCAAAATTCATAAGTAGCCTAGAAAATTGGACACCCAAAGTCCATAACAGCCTCTAGCAACAGGGCTTCTCCTGAGGAGGATGATCCCCATTTAACTAATATTTATGTGACTGGGACCTTGGGAAATTCATGTCCACTTTCCCAGCCTCAGCTTTCTTTTCTAGAAATTGAGAGAATTGGACTCAAAGTACTCCAAAAGACTTTCCACCTCTGAAGTTGTGTAATCAGATGGTATTACTATATGCAAAGTACCATGCTAAGTACTATGAGAGATTCAAAAATGAGAAAGACACAGCCCTTGCCTTCTGGCAGAGTTTAGCTTCTTTGAGCCTTACTTTTCTCACCTATAAAGCTCATCCAGTTTGAGGATGAAAGGAGATGTGTTTGTAAAGCTCTGACTGCCTGGCACTTCATAAGTGTCCCATAACTGGTATGTCATAGTATCTCTAAAATGAGATTAATCAATGGCATTAATAAATGGGTTAAGATGCTCAAATGAGCAAATGGAGGCAGAAGTCCTTTTTCAATATAAACATCAGTGACTATGTGAGAGACGAGTCTATCACATTTGTGTTTTAGCAGCATGGATCCGATGGCTTCAGCAGGACCCATGGACAATTCCGTGTTTGTGCGGGCACCCCACAACAGCTATCCTGCGACCCAAGAAGGCATGTGTCAGGTGGCCCTGTATCCACCCCCAAGTACACCTACTTCCTGTGAACCCACCGGGTTTGAAACCATCTGTGAGTGAGCAACCTGTCCGGAGAGCTTTGAAGGAGGGCAAAGCCTTAGGGGTAAGGGAGATTTCACTCTGCAGGCCAGGGGTCACTGGCTGGAGTCAGATGAGGGGGGAGGTTTGACAATACCGAAACTCCAAATCCAGCAAGCAGGATTGGAGCTGACCCAGCCTTGCCAAACTCGGGTCTACCAGAAATCTCAGCTGTGCAACATCACCAGGGTCTCAGTATGGGGCCTTGTATTTTCTGCCTTAGGCATTTTAAGAAAGAGGAAGAACGGTAACCAAAAAAAAAGGCGGTAAATTTGAATGTTGGTCCTTTTTTTATTTATTCTATTAATATTAAATCATCAGAATAGACAAATCCGTACAGAGAGAAAGTAGATTAACGGTTCGGGGTGCGGTTGCCAAGGGGAGACTGACTGAGGAGAGTGTGAGAGGTAAAGGGCATGGGGTTACCTTTTTTTTTATTCTTCATTTAAATTCAATTTAGTTACCATATACCATATTATTGGTTTCAGGGGTAGAGTTTAGAGATTCATCAGTTGCATATAACACCCAGTGCTCATTACATCACGTGCCCTGATGCCCATCACCCAATTAACCCATCACCTCCCCGCTGGCAACCCTCAGTTTGTTTCCTAGAGTTCAGTGTCTCTTATGTTTTGCCTCCGTCTCTATTTTCATGTTATTTTATTTTTCCTTCCCTTCCCCTATGTTCATCTGTTTTGAATGTTGGTCCTGTTGCCAGTGTCCATGTTGATCCATGTGGCCTCTGGAAAAAAGTGGGAGTACCAAGCCACAAGGTGGAGTCTAAACCCAGCATGCTTGAATGGAATCTTTGGCCATTAGGGGAAAAAAGCAGCTTAGACAACCAAAAAAATAACAAGTTCACAGTAGTTTTCTCCTGAAAGGCTGTCCTGGACAGGCCCAGGAGAGGCCCTTTTCATTGCAGAGCTGAAAGATGACAATCACGGATTCCAATCCAGACAGCCTAAGCTCAGATCTTAGCTCCACCCCCACTTAGTGCTCATGGGAGTGTCCGTTGATACAGCCTGTAGAGAGGGCAATTCGTATCTGCCATATATACAAACTACTCAATAATTCCATTTCTGAGCCTCTGTCCTGCAGATATGCCTGTGCACACAAGAAATGTGATGTGTATAAGCTTATTTACTGCAACATGCTTTGTGATGACAACAGAATGGAAACAATCAAAATATCCATCAATATAATACCGGCTAAATCAACGTATTATTCAAAGGATAGAATGTAGTACAGCTCTAAAGAGAACAAGGAATCTCTTTGTGTAATGATATGGACATCCCCCAGGATACATTTTTGATGGAAAGAAAAGATAGGGGGCAGACATTGTATACAGGCTGTTACCATTTGTACAAATTTAAGGAAAATAATATATTTGAATTTGCTGCCATGTTTGTAGTATATACACACACATATATATAAACATACCTAATACATCTATGTATATGTATATGTATATATATGTATATATACTATTTGTGCAAGAGTGTATCCTTGTTGGTTTCCTAGGACTGTCATAACAAAATACCACAAACTGGGTGGCTTATAAGAGCAGAAATTGTCTCACAGTTCTGGAGGCCAGAAGTTCACAGTGAAGTTGTCCACAAGGCCATGCTCCCTGCAAAGGCACTAGGGGAAGATCTGTTCCAGGCCTTTCTCCCAACTTCTGGTATTTCCTTGGCTTGTGGCAGCACAACCCCAATCTTGGTATGCATGGAATTCCCCTGTGTGCTTGTGTGTCTCCTCATGTCATTCTTTTGAAGGGACAGCATCATATAGGATTAGGGACCCTCCCTACTCCCATAATACCTCATACTACCTAATTACATCTGCAACAACCCTATTTCCAAATAAGGTCATATTATCAGGTACTGGGGATTTGAATTTCAATATGTTAATTTGGTGGGGGAGAGGCAGACCCAATTCAATCCATAAAAATATCCTAAATAAATAATAGATGAACACAAAGACTTATCCACAAAGATGTTCATTACAATATTATTTATTATATGAAAATACAAAAACAGTCTTAACTGTTCAATATCTCTGTTCCCACTACTCCACAAAACATCACATGATGGAATCAGGCAGCTTTTTAAAAATGTGTTTGAAGAACACTTAATACCAAGGGGGTGTGTACCTGATAAAATATTAAGTTAAATGTACAGAACCATCTTGTGTTCCACCACCCCGCCGTGGCCATTTCATCCCCAATTTATATTTTAATTCAATTAGCCAACATATAAACTATCATTAGTTTCAGATGTAGAGTTCAATAATTTATCAGTTACATATAACACCAGTGCTCATCACATCACGTGCCCTCCTTAATGCTCATTACCAATTACCCCATTCCCCCACCCACCTCCCCTCCAGCAACCCTCAGTTTATTTCCTATATTTAAGAGTCGCTCATGGTTTTTCTTCCTCTCTGATTTCTTTCCATTCTGTTTTTCCTTCCCTTCCCCTATGATCCTCTGCACTGTTTCTTATAACACTCATATGAGTGAAACCATATGATAATTATCTTTCTCTGATTGACTTACTTTGCTCAGCATAATACCCTCCAGTTCCATCCACTTCGATTTAAATGGTAAGATTTCATCCTTTATGATGGCTGAGTAGTATTCCATGGTATATATATATATATATATATATATATATATATATATATACCACATCTTCTATATACAGTCATCTGTTGATGGACATCTGGGCTCTTTCCATAGTTGGGTTATTGTGGACATTACTGCTTTAAACATTGGAGTGCAGGTGCCCCTTCAGATCACTACATTTGTATCTTTGGGGTAAATACATAGTAGGGTTATTTCTGGGTCAGAGCATAGCTCTAATTTTAACTTTTTGAGGAATCACCCTACTGTTTTCCAGAGTGGATGCACCAGCTTGCATTCCCACCAAGAGTGTAGGAGGGTTCCCCTTTCTCCACATCCTCACCAACACTTTTTGTTCCCTGCCTTGTTAATTTTAGCCTTTCTAACTGGTATGGTATCTCATTGTAGTTTTGATTTGTATTTCCCTGATGCCAAGTGATGTGGAGCATTTTCTCATGTGTCTGTTAGCCATTTGTACGTCTTCTTTGGAGAAGTGTCTGTTCATGTCTTCTGCCCATTTCTTGACTGGATTATTTTTTCTTTGGGTGTTGAGTTTGATAAGTTCTTTATAGATCTTGGATACTAGCCCTTTATCTGATATGTCATTTGCAAATATCTCCTCCCATTCAGCAGGTTGCCTTTTAGTTTTGTTGACTGTTTCCTTTGCTGTGCAGAAGCTTTTTATCTTAATGAAGTCCCAATAGTTCATTTTTCTTTTGTTTCCCTTGCCTTTGGAGAGGTGTCTAGCAAGAAGTTACTATGGCCAAGGTCGAAGAGGTTGCTGCCTGTGTTCTCCTCTAGGATTTTGATGAATTCCTGTCTCCATTTTGAGTTTATCTTTGTGTATAGTGTAAGAAAATGGCCCAGTTTCATTCTTCTACACGTGGCTGTCCAATTTTCCAACACCATTTGTTAAAGACACTGCCCTTTTTCCATTGGATATTCTTTCTTACTTTGTCAAAGATTAGTTGACACAGAGTTGAGGGCCTATTTCTGGGTTCTCTATTCTGTTCCATTGATCCACATGTCTGTTTTTGTGCCAGTATCATATTGTCTTGAGGATTACAGCTTTGTGTTTTGTTTTGTCTTGTTTTTAATTTTTAATTTTTTATTATTGTGTTCAATTAGCCAACCTATAGTACATCATTAGTTTTTGACATAGTGTTCAACAATTCATTAGTTGGGGTAACCAGGTGAGGGTATTAAGGAGGGTACATGTTGTGATGAGCACTGGGCATTATATGCAACTGAGGATTACAGCTTTGTAATACAGCTTGAAGTCTGGCATTGTGATACCACCAGCTTTGGTTTTCTTTTTCAACATTCTTCTGGCTATTCGGGGTCTTTTCTGGTTCCATACAAATTTTAGGATTGTTTGCTCCAGCTCTGTTAAAAACGTTGATGGTATTTTGATAGGGATTGCATTGAATGTGTAGATTGCTCTGTGTAGCATAGACATTTAAACAATATTTATTCTTCCAATCCATGAGCATGGAACGTTTTTCCATCTATTTGTGTCTTCCTCAATTTCTTTCATAAGTGTTCTGTAGTTTTGAGAGTATAGATCCTTTACCTCTTTGGTTAGATTTATTCCTAGGTATCTTATGGTTTTTGGTGCAATTGTAAATGGGATCAATTCCTTAATTTCTCTTTCTCCGTCTCATTGTTAGCATATAGAAATGCAACTGGCTTCTGTGCATTGATTTTATAACCTGCAACTTTCCTTAATTCCTGTATGAGTTCTAGCAATTCTGGGGTGGAGTCTTTTGGGTTTTCCACATAAAGCAGAGTGATTGTTTGACTTCGTCTTTGCCAATTTGAGGTGAGAAAGGGCATCCCTGTCACATTCCTGACCTTAGGGGAGAAGCTCTCAGTTTTTCCCCATTGAGGAAGATATTTGCTGTGGGCTTTTCATAGATGGATATTTTGATAATGAGGTATGTTCCCTCTATCCCTACACTGTGGAGAGTTTTATTCAAGAAAGGATGCTGTATTTTGTCAAATGCTTTTTCTGTATCAATCGAGAGGATCATATGGTTCTTGTCCTTTCTTTTATTAATGTGATGTATCACGTTGATTGATTTGCAGAGGTTGAACCACTCTTGCAGCCCAGGAATAAATCCCCCTTGGTCGTAGTGAATAACCCTTTTAAAGTACTGTTGGATCCTATTGGCTAGTATCTTGGTGAGAATTTTGGCATCTATGTTCATCAGGGATATTGGTCTGTAATTCTCCTTTTTAGTGGGGTCTTTGGTTTTAGGATCAAGGTAATGCTGGCCTCATAGAAAGAGTTTGGAAGTTTTCCTTCCATTTCTATTTTTTGAAACAGCTTCAGAAGAATAGGTATTAGTTCTTTAAATGTTTGGTAGCATTCCCCTGGGAAGCCTTCTGACCCTGTACTCTGGTGGGACAGTTTTGATTACTGCTTCAATTTCCTTCCTGGTTATGGGTCTGTTCAGGTTTTCTACTTCTTCCTGTTTCAGTTTCGGTAGTTTATATGTTTCTAGGAATGCATCCATTTCTTCCAGATTGCCTAATTTGTTGGCATATAGCTGCATATGTTCTTATAATTGTTGGTCATGAGCTCTCCTCTTTCATTCATGATTTTATTAATTTGGGTCCTTTCTCTTTTCTTTTTGATAAGTCTGGCTATGGGTATTGATCTTATTAACTCTTTCAAAGAACCATCTTCTAGTTTCATTGATTTGTTCTACTGTTCTTTTGGTTTCTATTTCATTGATTTCTGCTCTAATCTTTATTATTTCTCTTCTTTTGCTTGGTTTAGGCTTTATTTGCTGTTCTTTCTTCAGCTCCTTTAGGTGTAAGTTTAGCTTGTGTATTTGAGACTTTTCTAATTTCTTGAGAAAGGCTTGTACTGCTATATACTTCCCTTTTAGGACCACCTTTGCTGCATCCCAAAGGTTTTGAACAGTTGTGTTTTCATTTTCATTTGTTTCCATGAATTTTTTAAATTCTTCTTTAATTTCCCGGTTGACTCATTCATTCTTTTGTAGGATATCTTTAACCTCCAAATATTTGAGTTCCCTCCAAATTTCCTCTTGTGATTGAGTTCAAATTTCAAAGTATTGTGTTCTGAAAATATGCAGGGAATAATCCCAATCTTTTGGTAGTGGTTGAGACCTGATTTGTAGATCCATTATGTGATCTATTCTGGAGAATGTTCCATGTGCACTTGAGTAGAATGTGTATTCTTTTGCTTTAGGATGGAATGCTCTGTATATACCTGTGAAGTCCACCTGACCAGTGTGACATTCAAAGCCCTTGTTTCCTTGTTGATCTTCTGTCCATTGCTGTGAGTGGGGTGTTAAAGTCCCCTACTATCATTGTATTATTATCAATGTGTTTCTTTAATTTTGTTATTAGTTGGTTGATATAATCAACTGTTCCCAAGTTAGAAGCATAAATATTTATAATTGTTAGATCTTCTTATTGGATAGACCCTTTAAGTATTGATATAGTGTCCCTCTTCATCCTTTACTGCAGTCTTTGGTTTAAAATCTAATTTGTCTGATATAAGGATTGCTACCCTAGTTTTCTTTTGATGCCATTAGCATGATAAATGGTTCTCAACCCCCTCATTTTCAATCTGGAGGTGTCTTTAGGTCTAAAATGAATCTCTTGTAGATACCATATGGATGGGTCTTGCTTTTTTATCCAATCTGATACCCTGTGTCTTTTGATTAGAGCATTTAGCCCATTTACATTCAGAGTAACTATTAAAAGATATGAATTTTAGGGCCATTATATTGCCTGTAAAGTCCCTGTTTCTGTATATTGTCTCTGTTCCTTTCTGGTCTATGTTCCTTTTGGGGTCTCTCTTCACTTACAGGATCCCCTTTAATATTTCTTTCAGGGTTGGTTTAGTGATCACAAATTCTTTTAGTTTCTATTTGCCCTGGAAGCTCTTTATCTCTCCTTCCATTCTGAATGAATGGATTATCCTTGCTGAATAAAGTATTCTTGGTTGCATGTTTTTCTCATTTAGTACCCTGAATATATCATGCCAGCCCTTTCTGGCCTGCCAAGTCTTTGTGGATAGGTCTGCTGCCAGTCTAATGTTCCTACCCTTGTACTTTAAGTACCTCTTGTCTCAGGCTGCTTTCAGGATTTTCTCTTTATGTCTGAAATTTGCAAACTTCACTAATTATATGTCTGGATGTTGATCTATTTTTATTGATTTTGAGGGGAGTTCTCTGTGCCTCCTGGACTGAATGCCTGTTTCCTTCCCCAGATTAGGGAAATTCTCAGGTATGATTTCCCCTAAGATAGCTTCTGTCCCTCTCTCTCTTCTTCCTCTGGGACACCAACAATTCTAATATTGTTTTGTTTTGTGGTATTGTTGATTTCTCAAAGCCTCCTGTCATGGTCCATTAGTTGTTTTTCTCTCTTTTCCTCAGCTTCCTTTTTTCCATAATTTTGTCTTCTATGTCACTGACTCTCTCTTCTGTCTCATTTACTCTAGCTGTTAGAACATCCATTTTAGACTGCATCTCAGTTAAAGCGTTTTTTATTTTGGCCTGATTGGATTTTATTTCTGCATTAAGAGATTCTCCAGTGTCTTTTATGCTTTTTTCAATCCCAGCTAGTAATTTTATAATTGTTATTCTGAATTCTATTTCCAACATTTTACTTATATCCATATCGATTAGATCTATGGCAGAGTATTACCTCTGGTTCTTTCTTTTGTTGTGAATTTCTCCCTCTAGTTATTTTGTCCAGAGAGGAATAGATGAATAAGGGAATAACATTAAAAATATCAACCACGACCCCAGTGAAATACACACTAGACAAATCTGAAGAGGTCAGAAACCAGAAAAGGGAAAAAAGAGAGAATATAATCTCACAGCTGGACAAAACAGGATGATCTACTTGGTCCTGGGTGTATTTTGGTCTGTTTGTTAGAAGACACTAAATCCCAAAATTGTAGAGAAAGCAAAAATTATATATATACAAAAATAAAATTGAATACAGTAAAAGGAAGCCTGAAGGCTTTTCATGCTGCTTTAGAGGATAAAAAAAAAAAAAAAAAAGTAAAAATGGCAGTGCCCCATCTCCAGCCCTGGAGCTGAATGATCTCTGCCCCCACTCTTCAGGGCACCCTCAGGGAAAAGCAGTCAATCCCTATTGTGTGTGCCAAACTCCGTAGACTCCTGCAGTGCACACCCACACCAATCCTCCTAGGGGAGGAAGAGGATTTCACCAAGGCCCTGCTGCTTTCTGGGCCCCTGCTTCAAGAGCAGTTGCCTGATTGAGGCAGGGTCTCCCAGCAGTTGTCACTTGCTGGGCCCTAGCTTGGAGAACAGTCACCCAATCATGCCACAGTTCGAGATTTATGGCAACACTGAGCTGAGAGGCCACTCAGCGGCTCCCTGATTGTAGCCAGCTTCCCGCTCCAATGTTTGGGAACTCTGCTGTTCTCAGATACCCCCACTCTTTCTGTAACCCTGGGGATCCTGGGACCACACTGTCCCACCTAGGATTCTGCCCCACTTCACCACCTGAGCACCTTTCAGGCAGGGATGTTCGTCACAAGAGCAGACTTCTAAAAGTTCTGATTTTGTGCTCCACTGCAATATCACTTTCCCCTAGCCAGCTTACACAGGCTCCCTCCTCCCGTGGTTTATCTTTTGATATCCCCTCACATTCACTTCCCTGGACCTCCTACCTTGCAAAAAGTGGTCGCTTTTCTATCTGTAGAATTTAAGCAATTCTTTTCTTAGATCATAGGTTGAATTCACAGGTGTTCGGAATGATTTGATAGCTTTCTAGCTGAATTCAGAGAGATGAAACGCAGGTCCCCCACTCTTCTGACATCTTCCCTCTCCCTCTCCCTCCCAGAACCATCTTGTGTTATTGGTATATACATTTGAAAAGAATAATGGAAGGTTATATACCAAAATGTAAGTAGGATGTTTTCTCTGAGTAGTAAGTAATTATGGCAAGTTTTTATTTCATTTTTATATTTTTCATATTACTTTTTAGACTAGGAAATCAAAAGATTTATTAAAATAAAAAGGAGGCACAAAGGGGAGGCAGGATCCAGCCTCAGAAACAAAGGCTTCAGCTTGTGGCTCTCCTGACAGGCCATCCAGATCCTGATTGGCCTGATACACATAGGCCTCGGTTCCATCATGGCCGCTGTACTCTCTGGACACTATGCAGCTATCTCGCTCTATGGAGGCTTTCCCTTCTGGGGAGGCATCTGGGTAAGTAATGTTAGTCACCCCACCCCACAAGTGAGTTCCCAGAATGTGCCAACACACTCAGGGCCACCTTGTCAAGTTGTGTGGCTTGCACCTTGCAGCAGGTTCCCAGCCAAGGGAACAAGAGGGGTGTGAATCCAGCCCAGGCCTTGCTTACCAAGCATGTTAGTTTGCTAAGGATGCTGTGACAAACAGCACAGACTGAGTGGCCTACACAACAGAAATGCATTCTCTCACAGTTCAGAGGCTGGAAGTCCAAAATCAAGGTGTCACCAAGGTTGTTTCTCCTGAGGCCTCTCTCCTTGGCTTGCAGATCGCCACCTTCTCTCTGTGCTCCACATGGTCTCAGTGTGTCTGTGTCCTAATAATCCCTCTTCACATAAGAACACCAATCATATTGGATTAGAGCCACCCTAATGATCTCACTAAGACTTAGTCATCTCTTTAAAGGCCCCATCTCCAAATATAGTCACATTCTGAGGTACTGGGGGGTTAGGACTTCAAAAGATGAATTTTGAGGGGACACAATTCAGCCATAACACCCAGTGACAGCCCTACAAGGTGCCATTCACCCAGAGTGGGCACATTTTCTAATTGGCTCACCCCACAGGTCAGGGAACTTTCTTCTCATTCATTAACCCAGGAGTGGCACCTTTTTCCAACTCATATGACAATGTCCATGTGTAAAAAGATGTATTGGTAATAGCTTTCAAGTGTTGTTCAACATAGGCCCACAGCCTGAGCTCCAGGAGAAGAACACTTCTACCAGTGATCGAAAGTGGCTGCCAGACACAGAACGGTCATTAAGCAATGGGCACTCAACCTGGAGTCCACAGATGGGCTTCAGAGTCCCCATTTTGGCAAAATATTTGGCATGCTAGATTTTTTCCTGGAAAAGTCCATAGCTTTCATCAGATTCTTAGGGTGATCTGTGACTCCATAAAAGGTTAAAAACCACAGATCCTTTCTCTTCTCCAATTTACTGCCTTTTTGATTCTTTTGCATTCTCCCTAGCATTCTCTCAGCTACACACACACACACACACACACACACACACACACACACACACTCCTTCCTTCTCCCTGTCCTCCCTCCCACGTCCTTTTTCTCTCTGCTGTTACAGTCTTTGTCTCTGGACTCACACACCTATCTATGATTCAAATGCAACTTTTCTCAGAAATAGCAAAACTCCAGAGTAACCTAGATAATCAAAGTCCCCCCCTTATCCCATGACATTTAAATAAAATCACCTAGTGTTATCCCCCACCCTCATACCCACACAACACCTGCAAAATGGCAGGCTTATGTTCTTTGGAGAATCTTTCTCTGAGTACCTACTCTTTCTTGTTTCCTTCTGGGTCTCATTTACTGAGGCTATGGTCCTCTCTCTGCTTTGCATGGACTCAGACTTGGAACTCAGCGCCTATTCCTCTCCCCCAGCCCTGCGTTTGTATAACCCATTTTAATGGAGTTTGGGGCAATGGAGTGGCTAACACCATGGCCACAGAATGGCTTGCTATTGAGCATTGGATGCTAGTGAGTACTTTTAAGTGCCTGGAAATTTCCCTGGCATCTTCCCTTCTGCCAGGTTGATCAGCTCTCATGACCATCCCCCCCCCCCCCCGCTTTTATATCTGCAGGGCAGTTTGGTTCTTGGTTGCCTTTTTGACTCCGGGACTATGTATTTCCTAAAGATCATTAATGTCCTTTTCCAAAACAAAGGCCCATATCCTTTGGCACCTTAAAAGGACCCGAAGGGACCTCAGATGGCCAGCCTCTTGTTCCCTTCCCTCTGCATCAAGTCTCTATAAACAGAAGGGTATAAGGATGAGATTTATTTTTCCACATTTAGGAAAAAATACCATTCCCTTTAAAAGGCATAGGAAGCTAGAGTAACTTTTCATTATAAAACCATTTCCACCCCATGGCACATGCATCTACCCTGAGTGGGAGGGTGTGTAGGGTAAGGGTTACGAACACAGGGTCTGGTGGTACCTGGGTTGCTCAGTCGGTTAAGCGTCTGCCTTCAGCCCAGGTCATGATCTCAGCGTCCTGGGATCCCAGCCCTGCACTGGGCCCCCTGCTCAGCGGGGAGTCTACTTCTCCCTCCCCTTGACCCTTCTCCCTACCCTCCCTTTCCTCCCTCCCTCCCTCCTTTTCCCTCCCTTCCCTCCTCCCTGCCTCCCTTTCTTCCTCCCTCCCTCCCTTCCTTCCTCCCTCCCTTCCTCCCTTCCTCCCTTCCTTCCTTCCTTCCTCCCATGTTGACTTGGAGGCCCCAGCACAGGAACCTAGTGTGTATGAGAGAATGTGTGTGACCAGAATCCTGGAAGCCGGAAGATGGAACCCTAACCTGGGGCCTTTTTCTAAACCTCCTCTCTTCTGTGCCAGTTCATTGTTTCAGGATCCCTCTCAGTGTCAGCAGAAAATCAGCCGAAATCTTCTTGCCTGGTAAGTCACCTCCTGACACAGGCTCTCCCAGCAGAGACCTATAGGAGACACACTCTGGGGAAAAGAAGGTTAACACACAATCCCTCCCTCATCCTTGCACTTACAACTAACCAGATGCAAGGCACTGACACACGTGCTCACTCATACTCACATGCAGGACCACATGAACCTGGCCAGAGTCATGGTAGGAAGGAGTCCAGAAGATTCTGGGGAGGGAAGGACAACACAGCCACCTGAATTAAGGCAGAGACAGAACAGTGTCCCTAAGAGGTGCCTACAGGAGGAGACACAAATCTCCTGGGGGCTCAGGCTCCACTCCAGCCGAGCAGGCACTGACAGTGCCTATGGCACACAGAGCAGGCCTCCAGCCATTTCTGCAGGGAAGCCAGGGGAAGCTCAACCACCTGCTTCCCTAAGGAATCCAGCCAGGTGAACTCTGCTAATCACATGAACAAGGTCCCCTAGCAATAGACCAAGAAAATACCTTTTTTTCTTTCACAAGCAGGTTGTCTAGGGTGAAGGACCTCAGGATGGCCAGGTCCCTATGCCAGATGAAACCTATTTGAAAATCTCCAAAGGAAAGCTCAAAATTCTGGGCATGTCTTTCTGCACATGGCCCAGAATCACGGAGGATCAGAGCCTGTCATATCCCAAGACACAGGGGCTGAGCTTCCTACCTATCTCATACGGGATAAGCAGGTTGAGTGTTTCCCAAAGATTTGTCCTAGGGACACTTGTCCCATGAGATACTCTGTGAAGATGAGTAGCTAAACTTGGGGAAACCTCTATTTAGTAGTCCCCTCTCTGGAAGATCCATAATCCTTGTTAAAGGCTCTGGCAAGTCTTTTTTTTTTTTTTTTTTAAAGATTTTATTTATTTATTTGACAGAGAGAGACACAGCAAGAGAGGGAACACAAGCAGAGGGAGTGGGAGAGGGAGAAGTAGGCTTCCCGCTGAGCAGGGAGCCCGATGTGGGGCTTGATCCCAGGACCCTGGGATCGCGACCTGAGCCGAAGGCAGACGCTTAACAACTGAGCCACCCAGGTGCCCCAAGGCTCTTACAAGTCTTACAGCAAAGACCTATTTAACTTTGTTCAGCCCAGCTTTTTTTCAAAGTTAATTTACCCACACACTTTTTTGCACAGAACATCTCTTTCCTTGCTACAGAACTAAGGTTCTAGAGATTCGCATTAAGAAGCACTTGTTTAGTCTCTGTTCATCTCAGCCACAGTAATTTTCCTCTCCCACCCTGACCCTCTGTGTCGTCTTCAGCTGAATGGCAGCTTGGGCTTGAACATCGTCAGTGCAATCTGTTCTGTGGTTGGAATCATACTCTTCATCATGGATATGAGTCTCGCCCCCACCTATGCCTACTCTCTCTCTTATGCCCACTATGCTACCTGGGGTGTGGTGAGTACCCCTCTGAACCAACGTTCCTCTGAGTTCTGATTTAGCTAGGTTTACCAAACTGTTAGAAGGCCCAAAACCAAGCTTCTTCACCCAGCACTGTAGAAAAGAATCAGAACAGTGTGTAAAGCCCCTGACCTATAGCTTTACTGCTGTGTTACTTTAAGCACGTGACTTTTCTTAGTCTTAGTTTCTACCTTTATAAAACAGTACCTACCTTATAACATTATTGGCAGAATTAAATGCAATTTTAACACACATATGCCTCCAACTGCACCCCTGCTCACATTCTCACCTTCCTGCCCATGACTATGGACAAGGGGTCAGCAAAAGTTTTCTGCAAAGGGCCAGAGAATAAATATTTAAGGCATTGCAGGCCCTCTGGTTTCTATTGCAACTACTCAACCCTATCCTATAGTGGGAAAGCAGCCATAGAAAATACATAAGCAGTGAGCATGGCTGTGTTCTGATAAAGCTTTACTTACAAAAATAAGCAGCAGCCAGGATTTGGCCCATGGACCGTAATGTACCAACCTGTGCTGACCAATAGAAATATAATGTGAGTTGCAAGTCTGATTTTAAATTTTCTAGTCACCACCTTAAAAAAAAGAAGAAGAAAAAGAAACAAGTGAAATTAATTTTAATATTTTATTTAACCCAATATATCCAAAATGTCATTTCAACATGTAATCTGTGTAAAAAATTATCAATTTGATATTTTGCATTTTGGGTACTCGGTCTTTGAAATCTGGTGTGTACCATGCACATCTCACATTGGGACTAGCCACTTCCCAAATGTCCAACAGCCACATGAGACTCTTGACTCTGGGACTGACAAGTGAGCACAGGTACAGACAAGTCCTTGTAGATTCAGTCCCTCCATCTGGCCCATCCTCTCCTTCCCAGTCATATGATCGAGGTGTTTTCCTAAAGGATGACTACCCTTCCCCTTAGCGGAGGAAGTAGTAGTACCAGTAGTAAGTGTTCAAGTAACGATTCTTTTACAAACATACTTGACCCTCACAAAAACCTGGTGAGACAAGGTTAGGGGACTTCCTCAAAGCCACAGGGACAGTCCACTGCAGAGCCACACTTGGAGCCAGACCTCGGACGCCTGGACCAGCACTCCTGACATCCTACTCGCTCTGGTTCCAGACCCCTGGCATGGCTATTTCTGGTGTGCTGCTCATCTTCTGCCTCCTGGAGTTCTGCGTAGCATGTGCATCTTCCCACTTTGGCTGCCAACTGGTCTGCTGTCAGCACAACTACGTGAGTCCAGAGGCTCCTCGGTGGGTGGGAAGATTCCCCAAAGAAGGTGGAGACTAAAGAGATCTCCATGCTTCCCCTTCCTGCCCAGGGGCAGGAGCAGTCTCGCAGGGTGTAAAGGCCTCCGTGCCTGCCTGGTCCTTCTTGCACCCTTACTAGTGCCCCTCCTGTGCACCCGTGTTTTCCAGGTGGGTGTGGTCCTCCCGAATATCTGTGTGGCAAATCCAGGGGTCATCCCAGAACCAGTGAACTTGCCACCAACTTATTTCAACAAGGTCCAGGGCTCCAGATAAGCAAAGCCAAAGCTTCTAGAAGCATCTTTCAGAGACCAAAAGAAGACCTCCCCTTTCTGGGCTTCTGAAACCCAGGATCCCCCTTCCTTGACAATCTAAGGGAAATGTTTCTCTAACTGCATGCATCTTGACTTCATTCAATTCAGCATGGTAAATCTTGCAGTTCCTCTATTAAAAAGGAGACAGAAATTTAAAGTGGATTTTAACAAAGAGATCCTCCCTAGGGCATTTGTGCCTGGGGCCTAGTGTGCTTCCCTGTGTGAGCTCATGTGTTGGAAGTGCCAACGTCTAGACAACCGAACCTTCATTCTTTCAATCGTTCGTTTGTTGATTAAATATGTATTGAGCATTTGGTATATTCAAGGAAGTTTAACATTGGGGAACACAACAAAGTCCCTGACTTCAAGGAACTTCTGGCCTCACAGAGAAGACAATTACGCAAGCAATTTTCTCTAACACAGGAAAGAATGTGGGGATTCACAGAGAGGGCTATGATTTATTCTGACAGTGATAGGGAAAGCAGAGAACAAGCCTGGTTGAGGAAGCAACACTTAGTGGGGCATTAAAGGGGATTTTTGAGTGCAATAAGGAACCACACTGTTAGAGAGATCTTGAGACAGAGTGAGTCATCCACTACCATGACTAATCCTTTTATAAGTCCTTTTATAAACACAAGTACTGCTGTATCCACCCATGTAGCAGTACTTGTGAATAAACATTGTCTTAAGGTATCTCCCAAAGTTATGAGGCTAATATATCTTTATTTATAAAAGGATAGAGACTAATTCAAAGAGAAATGGCTATGTCTATAACTTCTAGATCTACCCACATTAATTTAAATATTGTTATACGTGATGGCAGTTGGCTTCAAAAAGTTTATATGCTGGCAGATAATAGCAACAATCTCTGACATCCAGGTGCCATCAAATTTCCCTTCACTACAGAAGCCCTGCAAGGATTCTTTGTTGTTGTCACTAAATACAGAACATGATTTTACTCTTGTAAATATTTTTAGCCTCTGACTTTATCCAAGAAGTTTCTTCTAAATGGCTTGCAGTTTAGAGTTCCATCTCCTGGGTGGCTCAGTCGTTGAGCGTCAGCCTTCGGCTCGGGTCATGGTCCCAGGGTCCTGGGATCAAGCCCCACATCAGGCTCCCTGCTCTGCAGGAGGTCTCCTTCTCCCTCTCCCACTCCCCCTGCTTGTGTTCCCTCTCTTGCTGTGTCTCTCTCTGTCAAATAAATAAATAAAATCTTAAAAAAAAAAAATAGAGTTCCATCTCCTGCATCTGTGTCTTCTTTGACCAGGAATCCTATGGATGCCCATCAGCTGGTCAGGAATGACTGAGGTTCCAAGACTGCAGGTAGGTTTTCATTTGCCAGAACTGAAGAGGTCTTAGGAAATCATGGACAATAAAAATGTAATATGGGGCATGTAATATCCCAGTTTTAGACCAGCCCTTCATCCATCTGTTCTCTAAGCTGAGATGTTAGTACGTTGGACTCCCCAAAGGGGACTGGCCTGGTTGGACCACTCTTGGAGGTCTGGATGGGCAGAGCAAGTCTGGCCTTCTTTCTGCCCCCTTCCTTACTGCTGCCTCTCACCGCCCCATCTGATTCCACACCTTCTCACTCCACTTCACCCTCGACAATGATCTCCCACTTGGTTCTCAGAGTCTCCTTCCTGACTTGTCTGACCTGTGAGTTAACTCAGACACTCCTGATGAGTCTCACCTCCTACAGTGCAGGTTGTCTTGGAGAGCATATCTTCTTGCACACCTGGTGCTTCTCTGGATAGGTGGCCCTTGCCACCTGCCACCTGTCCTGCCACCCGAAATCACTCTGGGGCTTGGTGGAATAGAGTACCTTTCCTATCCTACCACCTGCCCTATTAGTCCTGGGTGCCAGACCATTCATTCCAGATGGCCCCTTCACCATCCTGAAGTGACAGCACACTGCCTCCTGTGGACAGCAAAGTTTGTCCTTGCTCTGCACCGTTCCACAAGATGTTCATCTGCACAACTCCGTTCACTCCCAGCCTCCCCAGAACAGTGGAGCATAGACACTGGAAGAGACCTTGGAAATTTAGCACCATCAGCCCAGCCAGGAGCACAAGCAGGACTAGAACCAAAACTCCATATGGCCCATCCAAGGCTCCTTGCAGAAGCAGGGACACATCATAGAAAAATAGGGTGATTACAGTCAGAGACACTGTCTCTGCCTCCTGAGTTGCCACCACACACTCCTGGCTTTCTCCTCCAACTCCCCATCCAGTGACGATTTTGCTGTCCCCAAATTCACCAGTACCCTCCAGTAGCTCGGTTTCCATATTTATCTCACTTGACCTCTGTAGGATTTAACCCAACAAACCACCCTCTCCTTAAAACACTAGGCTAGTTCTGCACCAGCTTCTCCAGATGCCCTTTTCATTCTCCTTTGTGAGCTCCTCTCTCTCTCCTTGGGCCTTGAGCATTGCTCTCCAATATGGCATTGCCCTTGGCCCCTTTTCTCAGCCCAGGCACTCAAGCTCGTCTCCTGGGAACCTGAGATTCAAATCTCAAGGGAGATGGAGATTCAAATGTGCTAATCAGTGCATGAAAGTACTATAAAGTGTTTATACTGTTTTTCAGTCAGGCCTTGAGTCCCAGGGCTCATCATTCCCCAGTTGGGGATTTCTGATGAAAAAGGTCATTCTATTTCCTAGCTGATATGCCTGCCCCCATCTCCTCCATCGGCAAATTCAATATCCACTTCCACAGGGAAGCTGTCTTAGGTTCCCATGGCCAGAAGCATCCAAGGAAAAGCAGGCCTGTGGTGGGAGCAAGAGGGAAGTGTACAATGTGACCCAGCAGTGATGATGTTCAGGGTTTAACCTTGAGGGTTTTTTTTTTTTATCTTGACTGAAAAAAAAAATCTGATTTTTGTGTTATCGTTGAAAAAAAACAATAGAAGTGTGGCTATGTGTCCCAGTAGTGACTTCACACCTGGAACATTTATAGCTCCTGCCAAACACCCTAAGAACTTCGGGACATTCCACTGGGGAGGTATACTCAGTCTTTGGAAGGTGCATTACAACATCAGTAGGTGTGCCGTGTCAAGGAAAGACCTGTTCCCAGGACCCCAGCCCCAGTGTCATGCTATAGCCCATATTTCCCTGACTTTTCCTTCCCAGGACTCTTACTGCCCACAGTTTACACCATTCATATGGAGTCAGTCTTCCTGGGTACAGACACAACATCTTCAACAGCTCCTACCTAGCTCTCTTGCCAGTCTCAGGATAAGACTTAGCACATAGCAGTGTTACCGAACACTTCCTAGTATGAGAAGTATCCTCTTGCTTCCAGGAATGAATCCCTTACATCCCACTCACTCAGTCCTCCAGTGACAGGAAGTACCTACTGTATGCCCAGTGCTGGATGCACAGTGGTGAATGGAGCAGATGTAGTTCCTGCCCTCCTGGAGAGTACACGCCTGAGTGCGTGACAGGCGAGTCACATGATCGGTTAAGTGATGAAAGTGATAGGGAAACAAACATGGTGTTTGTCTAGACATTACTGGGGAAGGGGAAGAGGGCAGAGTTTCTGAATGGAAGGCCCCTCTAAAGAGGAGATGTGAAGAATAAGAATAACTAGCCATACAGAAAGTGAAGTAAAAACCAATCCAGGCAGAGAGAAGAAGCCATGCAAAGCCGTCCTTGCAGGAAAGAGCTTGGAGTGTCCAGGAAACTGGAAAGAAAGCCAGTGCAGCTGAAATCTAGTGAAGGAGATCGGGAATGTCTCAAGAAGGGGCTGGAAAAGCAGGCAGGGGCCACAGAGGGCATTGGATTTTATTCTAGGGCTAAAAGCCATTTTAGAGCCATTGGGTGACTTTATGCAGGAGAGTCATGTAATCCGGTTTACAGTTTGAAAGATCATTCTGCCTGCTTTGTAGGGAAGGGATAGGAGAAGGGTGAAGGCAGGAAGCAGGGGGTCCCAGAGGAGATTTAGTGATAGTCCGGGACAGGAGCTGGCAAACTAAGGCCTGTGGGTGAGCCATATCTGGCCCACCACTTGTTTTTGTCGATAAAGTCTTATTGGAACACAGCCAGGCCCATTTGTTTGCTGGTTGCTTCTGTGCTACAACAGCAGGGTTCAATAGCATGACAGACCATACAGCCTGCAAAGCCTAAAATATTTACTGTCTGGTCCTTTGCAGACAAGTGTGCTGACCCTAAGGATAGATGATGATGATGATACAGTTTTCGTCCTTTGTGTACCAGAATCATGGTGCTCCAAGCTATTCGCTCACGGTGGGAAAGAATTGGCTATGACCCACTTATCTTCTCTTGCCCTTGGTAATCAGACTGTCCCGGTGAAATCAATTAAGATGGGAGCTGTAAGCACATGACCACAGTTAGAGGATGTGCATGGGGAGATAGGTTCCCATTAACAATCCACTGAACGCCTGGACTAGGTAGTTGATAGTGGAGACAAAGAAGCGGGTTGGGGACATGGCTTGGCGGGGAGATCTCTAGGGTTCATGGACTTTGTGGGGTGGGTGGAAGGAGAGGGGGAAATTGAGGGCAATGTCAAGGTTTCTTCCTTAAGTAACTGGGTGAACAGCCGTTTACTGGAATGGGGAAGGCTGGTGTAGGAAGAAGTTTCAGAAGAAAACCCAAATTTCAGTAATATTGTCCTCAAATTTTATAGGAGCATACCATTCCAGAGGTGGCCAAGAACTTAAAGATAACCTCTATTTGATATTGAATATCCTCTATCATTGCCCCTATATGTATATTATCGGCATCACCTGGGAGCCTCTTGGCCCTACCCCCAGACCTGCTTAATTAGGAACTCTGAGGGTGGGGTCAAGCAATCCGTGTTTTAGCAAGCCTGCCAGGTGATTCTGATGCTCAGTCAAGTTTGAGACTGCTCCACAGAATCTTCTCAAATGAGTTTTCCTTCTCATTTTGAGCACCATATGTGGTGGTGTATATTATGCTGGTGTCTCCAGAGACAGCCCAC